TCAATTGTCTCTATTTCCTCTGAGTTCCTATTTCTTCTTTGTTTTGGTCTTTGACTTTAATGTTGGTGGACTTCCTCAAGAGCATGGTGATCTTTAGCTATCTAATAATACTTGAAACAGAATACTGAAAGTCTAAATGCAACTTCATGCGAAGACCTTGGCAATTTGCAGCCATCACTTTAGGGTGATTAGGTACCACCCTGTCATTTCATTGTGACATCCCCAAATGTCAAAATCTGTAAGCTTTTCCCCTTGGATCTTTTCTCCCCAAAAAGAATTACTGAATTTTTACATGTGATGGAAGCCTTCACAGGAAAAATGAAGACCCAAAGAAGTAGTTAGGGCTGAAATCTTATATACTTGTTAATGATGTTGAAATCAATGCAATTGCATTGTTTGTCCTTCAATAGCCTGACTGCTAGTCTTTTGGAAGCAAGTCAGAAAGGAATGTCTTGACAAATATAATTCAATTCACAGATTTTGACTGCGTTTATTTTTATTTAGGTACCTCTTTCCCCCAGTTGGACTTGGAACCCCCAAATCTGGAGCATCTCTGACTCAACTCCTTTAAAGAGAAAATCCAGTTTTCTTTTTTTTTTTTTTAACTTTTTATCTTGTATTGGGATATAATTGATTAACAATGTTGTGATAATTTCAGGTAAACAGTGAAGGGACTCAGCCATACATATACATGGATCCATTCTCCCCCAAACACTGTCCCCATCCAGGCTGCCACGTAACATTGAGCAAAGTTCCATGTGCTATACAGTAGGTCCTTGTTGATTATCCATCTTAAATAGAGCAGTGTGTATATGTCCATCCCAAACTCCCCAACTGTCCCTTCCCCCCAGCAATCATAGTGTAGTTCTCAAAGTCTGTGAGTATTTTTCTGTTTTACAAGTGAGTTCATTTGTATCATTTCCTTTTAGATGCCACATATAAGGGATGTCATATGATTGTTTCTCCTCCTCTGACTTATTTCACTCAATATGACACTCTCTCGGTCTCTCCATGTTGCTACAAATGGCATTATTTCATTCTTTTTAATGGTTGAGTAATATTCCATTCTATATATTTACCACCACATCTTCTTTAGCCATTCCTCTGTCCGTGGAGATTTAGGTTGCTTCATGTCTTGGCTGTTGTAAACAGTGCTGCAATGAACATTAGTGTGCACATATCCTTTCGGATCATGTTTTTCTCCGGATATATGCCCAGGAGTGGGGAAAATTCAATTTTCTTCTCAGTTGGAGAATATGCATTTATGTGGAGGAGGATGAATATAATATGTAAAGATCTGTTGAGATATTATTCAAGACTTCAGATTATATTCTCTTCATTTCTGTGTAATGTGGTCTTATGGTTGCTCTGTCAATTAAGAATTAAGAGGATGTTTCTTGATGTAACTGTATCACAGACTGAATAATTTATTACTCCTCAGGCCACATATACAATCTTGAGAAAATCCAGTGCTTATGAGACAGGTAGAGGAAAAGAGACCGAGAAAGAGTAGCCTGAGAGGAAGGAGATAAAGATACTGATTAAATGTTGAGAGTGATCAGTAGGTCAAATGCTGCTAAAAGGTCACTCAGTAAGAATAAGGACTGAGAAGAGCCTGATGGATCGTGCAAAGTGGAGGTGATGATTTACCCTGGCCAGAGCAGTTTCAAAATTCTTCCATCCTCAGCATATCCTGTGAAAGTGTAGGTTAGATCATATCAGACTGTTCAAAACTCACCAAGGTCTTCACGATCTCTTACCTTGCAGACTACAGTGTTGGACAAGTGGTTGGTCTCTCCACTTCCAGCCAGTTTTCTCCTGGGCCTCATCTCCTTCAACTTTCTCTACTCTATCAGACTTGCCTCCTTGCTCTTTGTTGATAAATCCAGGATCGCTCTTGCTGTTTAGGATAGGCCTTTGCATTAGTTGTTTACTTTTCCAGTAATGATGCTCCCATACTTCTTCCAAACTCACTCCCTTGCTTCCTTCAGGTCTTTGCTCAAATGTTGCCTTTTTTGAGGCCTTACTCAACACTGTATTTAAATTACATTCATTTCCACTCAAGCACTATCCCTCTTCCCAACTTTGTTATTCTTCATAACATTTATCACTATTGAACATACTGTTTTACTCACTTTATTTAGTGTCTGTCTCCCCCACTCTCCCTCAAACATAAACTAGATGAGGGAAGAGATTTTGTTCATTCACATGTCCCAAGAACTTAGAACAGTACATACAACATAATACGCACTTAAATATTTGATGAATAAATTAGTGAATCGAGTAATGGTGTGAAAAAAAGGTAGATATGGAGAATATTAGTTAACGAGAATATCTTCAATAAATTTGGCTGTAAAGAAGTGGAGAAAGATATTGTTGTACTTGAAGGAGAACATGGGGTTTAGGGAAGCTCATGTGTTTTTTATTTGTTTACACTGATTTTTTTCTTTTGAAAAAATACTGATTCATGGAAGATTGGAAGGAAAGTACAGAGAGGTTCCATTTACCCCTTCACCCGGTTTCATCAATGGTTTTACTTCTTCAGCTAGGTAACTGTAGTACAATATCGAAACATGGGAGATGACGTTGGTATATTGTGCATGTAAATCTATGCTACTTTATCACATGCGTATTTGTGTAACCACTACTGCACACAAGATACAAAACTATTTCAGAACCACAAAGATTTCCCTCATGCCACCCCTCCCACATCCCTAGCTCTTGACAAGCATGACTTTGTTCTCCATCTGTGAAATTTTGTCATTTCTAGGACATTATATAAATGAAATCGTATGGTGTTAATACTTGATTTTTAAAGATTGTTTTCTCTCACTTGTCCTATTCTATTGAGATTCATCCACAGTTTGCTTACCAATAGTTCATTCCTTTTTGTTACTGAATAGTACTCCATGATATGGATGTACCATGGGAGTTTTCAGCCATTCACCTGTTGAAGGATATTTCCAGTTTTTGTCTGTTCCAAATAAAACTGCTATGAACATTGGTGTATGGGTTTTTATGTGAACATAAGTTTCATTTCTCTGGAATAAAGGCCCAAGAGTATGATTGCTGGGTTGTATGACACATTATATGATAACATGAAATTAAAAGATGCTTTCTCCTTGAAAGAAAAGCTATGACAAACCTAGACAGTGTATTAAAAAGCAGACACATCACTTTGTTAACAAAGGTCCATATAGTCAAAGCTATGGTTTTTCTAGCAGTCGTGTATGGGTGTGAGAGTTGGACCATGAAGAAGGCTGAGTGCCAAAGAATTGATGCTTTTGAATTCTGCTGGAGAAGACTCTTGGGAGTCCTGTGGACTGCAAGGAGATCAAACCAGCCAATCCTAAAGGAAATCAACCCTGAATATTCATTGGAAGGACTAATGCTGAAGCTGAAACTCCAATACTTTGGCCACCTGAAGGGATGAGCCAACTCATTGGAAAAGACCCTGATGCTGGGAAAGATTGAGGGCAGGAGGAGAAAGGGGATAAAATGGTTGCGTGGCATTATTGACTCAATGGACATGAGTCTGAGCAAACTCTGGGAGATAGTGAGGGACAGGATGCCTGATGTGCTGCAGTCCCTGGAGTCACAAAGAGTCAGACATGACTTAGTCATTAACAACAACAATGATACATGTATATTTTGTTTTTTAATAAATGTCAAACTATTTTCCAGAGAAGTTGTACTGTTTTAAATTCCTCATGGTCTTTTTTTAAAGGGTGGGGCAATGTAAAGTCTGTTTAGGTTTTTTCGGGGAGGAACCAGCCACCAGGAAGGGGAAGGAAGCGGAGGACTGAGCCGAGTCCAGAAGAAGCAAATGAAAATGTAACAAGGTAAAGAGATGCTCCTTCCACTGGAGGGTGTGTCCTAGTTACCTGAAGAAGGTGTGAGGTCGGATGCAAGTGGCTTTATGGGTTTGTTGCCTGGAACTTAATGGTTTTTCTTCCTCCTGACTAAACAGTGAATGAAGGCTGGGCTGAGAGTGAAGTGCTTTGACATCAAAGGGCTTTGTGATCACATAAGGCTGGGAAATGCTTATTAATGTGTCACACCCTAGTTATTAGCACACCGAAAGTTTAGAAAAATCCTAGGGTAGAAAAGAGACCAGTCACACTCTGTAGCGTGAACATATGAATTTATGTGGTAAAGGATTGATTTTCTTTCCACATATATTTCTAAACCCTCCTCTCATTTTGCCCATCCTGAACCCCAAAGAACAACTCTCTTCACACAATTTTGGAAAAGTCCAGAATGGAATATAGCTACAATGGGATATTGCATGTATCCCACACAATACATGGAGTTTCATCCTCTACACTAGAGGAATACATCCAAATTTAAATATTGTGGGATCAGAATATCATGATCAGAGTTTTAGTAAAGTCTTCTAATGTGTAAACAGTATTCCAGTATAATTTAGTTTATGCACTAATAATGCCAATCTGATATTTTTAAATGAGTTAACATTCTTAGATGAACACTTGATTTATTATAAAATTAGAACTGTGAAACAATGGAGACAGTATAGTCTTTTTAATAAACAAAGTCCTTTGATTTTAGTAAACTGGATATCTGTATGGGAAAAAGTGAGTTTTGACATATACCTTATGTCAAACACAAAAATCATTTCTAAGTAAATTTGAAAGGTAAAACAATAGATCTTTAAGATAACATAGACTATTTCATGAATTTGATGGTAGGCAAAGATTTCTTAGAGTACAAAAGAGCTCTAACAATAAAGAGAGGGCAGGAGGAGAAAGGGGATAAAATGGTTGCATGGCATTATTGACTCAATGGACATGAGTCTGAGCAAACTCTGGGAGATAGTGAGGGACAGGATGCCTGATGTGCTGCAGTCCCTGGAGTCACAAAGAGTCAGACATGACTTAGTCATTAACAACAACAATGATACATGTATATTTTGTTTTTTAATAAATGTCAAACTATTTTCCAGAGAACTTGTACTGTTTTAAATTCCTCATGGTCTTTTTTTAAAGGGTGGGGCAATGTAAAGTCTGTTTAGGTTTTTTCGGGGAGGAACCAGCCACCAGGAAGGGGAAGGAAGCGGAGGACAGAGCCGAGTCCAGAAGAAGCAAATGAAAATGTAACAAGGTAAAGAGATGCTCCTTCCACTGGAGGGTGTGTCCTAGTTACCTGAAGAAGGTGTGAGGTCGGATGCAAGTGGCTTTATGGGTTTGTTGCCTGGAACTTAATGGTTTTTCTTCCTCCTGACTAAACAGTGAATGAAGGCTGGGCTGAGAGTGAAGTGCTTTGACATCAAAGGGCTTTGTGATCACATAAGGCTGGGAAATGCTTATTAATGTGTCACACCCTAGTTATTAGCACACCGAAAGTTTAGAAAAATCCTAGGGTAGAAAAGAGACCAGTCACACTCTGTAGCGTGAACATATGAATTTATGTGGTAAAGGATTGATTTTCTTTCCACATATATTTCTAAACCCTCCTCTCATTTTGCCCATCCTGAACCCCAAAGAACAACTCTCTTCACACAATTTTGGAAAAGTCCAGAATAGAATATAGCTACAATGGGATATTGCATGTATCCCACACAATACATGGAGTTTCATCCTCTACACTAGAGGAATACATCCAAATTTAAATATTGTGGGATCAGAATATCATGATCAGAGTTTTAGTAAAGTCTTCTAATGTGTAAACAGTATTCCAGTATAATTTAGTTTATGCACTAATAATGCCAATCTGATATTTTTAAATGAGTTAACATTCTTAGATGAACACTTGATTTATTATAAAAGTAGAACTGTGAAACAATGGAGACAGTATAGTCTTTTTAATAAACAAAGTCCTTTGATTTTAGTAAACTGGATATCTGTATGGGAAAAAGTGAGTTTTGACATATACCTTATGTCAAACACAAAAATCATTTCTAAGTAAATTTGAAAGGTAAAACAATAGATCTTTAAGATAACATAGACTATTTCATGAATTTGATGGTAGGCAAAGATTTCTTAGAGTACAAAAGAGCTCTAACAATAAAGAAAATGGTAGATGAATCCAATTACAATAAAATTAAGAAATCCTGTTCAACAAAAGGACATTAAGAGAATGAAAAGGCAAACCATAGTATAGGAAAAGGCATTTCCTATCCATGTAATCAGCAAAGGATTTGTATCTAGACTAAATACTGTTTTATAAGCCAGTTGTAGTCAGTGCAAAATGAAAACGACTCTAGAACCAGACTGCCTATAGCTACTTCTGGTGTGACTTCATACATGTCATTCCATGCTTTTCTGCCTTATTTCCTCACTAAATGGGAGTAAGAGTATACCCATCTACAGTTGTTTTGAGAGTTAAATTAATCGTTATAGATAAAACACTTTGAGAAAAGTTTTGCACATTAAAAGAGCCCAACTGAAGTTAGCAATTATCATGTGTCCTCTGTGTTTTCAAATAAAGGTGAAAGCTTGATGCAGAGAATTTAGAATTTAATGTGCTTTCATTATTGGAGTGTCATTGATGTCCCTGACATGCTGAGCCATCACATTTCTTATTACACAGCAGCAGTGTGTGTGCGTGTGCACATAAGTGAGGTGTAATAGCATTAAATGTCACCCAGCCCTTCCATAATAAGTGGGAGGCATTCTGGCTTAACCACCAAGCACCTGCAGTGAACTTGGTTGTGTTTTCCTTCACCTAATAATTCTGACAGCTTTATAATATCCTTAAATAAAATCACAGCATCAACTGCATACTTGTGCGACTTACTGCTTCTATCAGTGTTACATTTGGACAGTTTTCTTACATATTCATACATAATTACTGGAGAATATAAAATCTCTTACATTTCAGGCCTGACCTTACCTTGTTAAGAGTTTACATTTGTATGGATGTTTCTCTGTCTTAAATAAAATGCTTTCCTCAATTTTATCATTTCCAAATGGGTGGTTCTGTGAGTCACTGTTCTCCTCTCTGGGTGGTAGGGACCCAATTTCATGACACCTCCTGCCAGAGAAGCATCTTTGTTGGCTCTGATTCACTAGGCAATTTTCTCTAAGTTGTGCCCTACCTCACCTGGGTTTCATTGGCATCAGAAGCGCTTATAAAGCCAGCACATCTCTGGAACTGTTCTAATTAACCCATCATCACTCCTTGGAAGGTAGCCTTGATACTGACCAGGGTTCTTGGCCTTCCCCAATCAATAGAAAGAGATGGACAGAGGAGCCTGGCGGGCTGCTGTCCATGGGGTCACACAGAGTCAGATACGACTGAGTAACTGACACTTTCACTTCAAAAAAAGAAACTGACTAAAGGCCAGAAAAGAAATTCAGTAAAGGCTTTATGGGGGGCCCTGATGCCCCAGGAGGGAACAAAAAGAAGTAACAAAGGACATGCTCATTCCCTGGGGGCCAGGGTGGGGGCAAGCTTCTTCTTTATATGGGGTGAGGGTAGGGGTATGTCCAGGAGTTGGGCCGGAGGGATGGCTTAAGTGGGTTGCCACCCCTTAGACGGTGTCGTGTGCAGGGAGCATGTACAGTACTCTGTTTTTGCTCCTGGCTCTTCAGAAGTGGTGGTTGGGTATTTTGGTCGTTTGTATCTTTCTGTCCATAATTTGCCCCAACTGTTAGGCACACAATTATTTTAGTCCTTATAATTTCTCTGCATTACGTTGCTGGAGGAGAGATTTGTCCGGGTGCAAGCATTGGAGCAAAGGGTCCCGGGCCGCAGACCGTCTCAGTCTGTGTGTGAATACGAAGTGATCAGTAACAACCAGGCCCACCATTCTCAAAGGGTGATTGTGGGTCACGTTTGGAAAACTCACCTGGGGTACTTGTTAAAAACATAGATTTCCAAGTCCCATCCCAGACCCTCAGAATCAGAGCCTCTGGGAATATCAATCAAAAGTTTACGTTTAAAAAAAAAAAACAAACTTTCCAAGTGAGTCTAAAATTTGAGAACTATCAAAATATATTTCACTGAGTCCCATAGAATCTGGTTATAAAATTAGAAAATTAACACCCAACAGCTTGAGTAGGATACAGCAAATACAAGTTATGAAAATGGAGGCTGGTTGAATCCAGGTAAGGATTAAATTCAAGGAAGAAAGAATGTGTGAAGAGGGTGGAGGGATGCCCAGAACACTCTGAGCCCTGTACTTGTAGTCATGATTTTCTTAGAGCTGAGTATTTTACCTTTTTTCTGAGAAGTGAGTTGGTAAAAAAAATGGATTTATTTCATTGTTAGCAATTCAAACAAAGAATAAAAATATAACTTTCTGTATCTCAAGCATTTAAGATCTGGGTACTCTTCTTATCTTTTGGCAATGTTTGATAAATCTATAGATTCAGGTAATTCTGTGCTTACATCTGAAGCCCCAGGCTGAAGGTCCTTCTAAGCTGATTAGTTAACAAGTCTATCTTGGTCATGGACTTCCCTGATACCTCAGTTGGTAAAGAATCCACCTGCAATGCGGGAGACCTGGGTTCGATTCCTGGATCGGGAAGATCCCCTGGAGAAGGGAAAGGCTACCCATTCCAGTATTCTGGCCTGGAGAATTCCATGGACTGTATAGTCCATGGGGTCGCAAAGAGTTGGACACAACTGAACGACTTTCACTTCACTTCATCTTGGTAATGCTTTTTGCCATTCACTCACCACTCACTCATCTAATTATGGGTTAGGTGCTCTAGAAAATCTAACTTCAAATACATAGAATTGCCAGGGCTGGGGAGGTGTCTTGTAAAATGTAGCATGTGATTCAATGGTTCTTGGGTGAGACCCAAAATTCTGCATTTCTAACACGTTTTAGTTTTCTGAATGTTGAGTTTTAAGCCAACTTTTTGACTCTCCTCTTTCACTTTCATCAAGAGGCTCTTTAGTTCTTCTTTGCTTTCTGCCGTAAGGGTGGTGTCATTGCATATCTGAGGTTATTGATATTTCTCCCACTAATCTTCATTCCAATTTGTGCTTCCTCCAGCCCAGCGTTTCTCATGATGTACTCTGCATATAAGTTAAATAAGCAGGGTGACAATATNGGAAACAGTAAGAGACTTTATTTTCTGGGGCTCCAAAATCATTGCAGATGGTGACTGCAGCCATGAAATTAAAAGACGTTTACTCCTTGGAAGGAAAGTTATGACCAACCTAGACAGCATATTAAAAAGCAGAGACATTACTTTGCCAACAAAGGTCCGTCTAGTCAAGGCTATGGTTTTTCCAGTAGTCATGTACAGATGTGAGATTTGGACCATAAAGAAATCTGAGTGAAAAAGAATTGATGCTTTTGAACTGTGGTGTTGGAGAAGATTCTTGAGAGTCCCTTGGACTTCAAGGAGATCCAATGAGTCCATCCTAAAGGAGATCAGTCCTGAGTGTGCACTGGAAGGACTGATGTTGAAGCTGAAACTCCAATATTTTGGCCACCTGATGTAAAGAACTGACTCATTTGAAAAGACCCTGACGCTGGGAAAGATTGAGGGCAGGAGGAGAAGGGGACGACAGAGGATGAGATGGTTGGATGGCATCACGGACTCGATGGACATAGGTTTGGGTGAACTCTGGGAGTTGATGATGGACAGGGGGGCCTGGTGTGCTGCGGTTCATGGGGTCGCAAAGAGTCGGACGTGACTGAGCAACTGAACTGAACTGAACTGCACACGTTCTTAGTGATGCCAATGATGCTGGTCCGCTGATAACATTGATAACATCATTGCTTGCTTAAGAAGCCCTGATTTCTTTTTGGCCTCCAGAAAGAGTTTTCTAGACTCTCTGGTCCCTGGATGTATCTGACCTGCACTACTGGTAGAGGCAGGTGAAGATTCCATACTGGCAATGCAGTATTGGACTTTGTTCTCAGAAGTTCCTGACATGAATGCTGTGTTGGCTGCTTGTGAATGATAAAGACCCTCTCCCCTTTCATACTTAATCCAGGTCTCAACTATGAATCTCTTCAACAAGATAGTTCTTTCTCTGGGAGAATAAATTTGGAATTCTGGCCTGTCTGCCCCTACACCTCCTGAACCATTAGTAACAGCCATGACTACCTTTAAACATCTTTTAAATCTTCAGTGGCTCAGTGGTGTCTGAATCCCACAGTAGTTGCTTTTCTTTATTTTCCACTAAAAAAATTAAAGTATAATTGACTGACAATATCATAGTGGGCCTTCTCTTTCCTCAGTGAATCTGGCTAAAGGTTTATCAGTTTTGTCAATCTTTTCAAAGAACCAATTCTTAGATTCATTGCTTTTTTAAAAAAATGTTTTTAAAGTTTCAATTTTATCTTCTTGGAGAATAATCTTCCTTTGTAATATAAGTGACAGGCCTGAGAAATGCTGTGAGGTGCATTTTTTTTTTTTGCTTGTTTTTATTGTGAGGGTCTTTAGTGAATAAGTACTCTCATTTCTTTGTTCAACAGTCTGTTCATCTTTACATACTTCCAGAGACAAATTGTTCTCAGTCATTGAGTAGTTTCAAATAAAGTTTTTTCTCTAATAAAATATCACAGACCTAAGTGTATTATTAAAGTTGTCATTGTGTCAACTGTATACCTTTCACAATTTTTCCAATTGCAAAATGATTTTTTTGAAAAGCAGTTTAATTCCAATTTGGTTTCCACAATTTGTATTAATTTAAAGTTCTTTATCATTCAGACACTCTATGTTTTCTGTGGGCTCCACAAGTTGATTCTAAACTATCAAGTAGGAAACTGAGACCAAACATGGACATGTGTGCATGCGCGTGCACACACACACACACACACACACACACTCAGGAATCCATCTTCCTCTTCTTCTCTTCCTCTGTCAATAAATTATGATTTGGTAATATTAACTATCAGCCAGCTTTGGAAACTATTGAGATGGTTTCTTGTCCATCTATATACCTAACTTATCTGTCCATTATCCTCTTTTCCTTACTCTAAAAAAGATTTAAGGTATTGTCTTAATTAAACATAGTCACTTAGGAAAGTAACCATTTAAGAAAATAGATAAAAAGATCAATAATGTAATAGTTAATCTTTATCTTCTTTCTCATAGTTTTATGTTTTCCACATTTTCTTGCCATGTATTAGTATAATTATAATTTTTTAAAAGACTGAATTTTTTATGGATTAAAAAATTTGATGTAGTTACTTATGAGGGTTGCCCTGCTTATGTACTATTTCATACTTAGTGACTTATCAATTAATCAAGTATTTTTATTTTTAGGACTGTCTGTTCCCCCAGAGGACTAGAAAGGAAAACTTTCACACCTATTACTTTACAGATTCCTGGTAAGATGGAAGACCTCTGAAATTCTATCAGTTTCTGTTCTTTGGGGTTCTGCAACAGCCTCTGGAGGAATGATGCATATTATCTTTATAGCCAACAACGTTATATAAAACATAAAAAGGGCTTTTCTTCTTTGATTGGAATTTGAAATTGTAATCTAGTATGTTAGAATCTGTGTTAGAAGAATCATTTAATGCTCCCTGCCCAATCAGCAGTAACACACCAAGTATGTTAGTCACTCAGTAGAGTCCAACTCTTTGTGACCCCATGGACTGTAGCCCCCCATGCACCCCTGTCCATGAAATTCTCCAGGCAAGAATATTAGAGCGTGTAGCCATTTCCCACTTCAGGGGATCTTCCAGACACAGGGATTGAACCCAGGTCTCCTGCATTGCAGGCAGATTCTTTACCGTCTGAGGCACCTGGGAAGCCCAAGGGTACAATTTATTTATTGCAGTGGATTGCTTCCCTCTAATGGTGGAAAGTAGTCATACCACTTCATTTTTAGTGTTCAGGTTTTTAGTCTCAAATAATTTACAAATTATTTCACACCATGGATTTCTTTGATTATGATTATTACAATCTATGCTTTTATGATAATATCACATGATATTGATGCCAAAACCATTAGCTCATGATTTTAACAATCAAAGCAATAACATCTAAGAAGTCATAGCTCATTACTTCTCTGATTTCTTTCTGACTCACTAAATGTTTCAAATGAAACAACTTATTTCTGATTTGTAATACTTCCACTATTAAAATCTTGCAGAAATGCATGTAATTGTTACATCATCCCTTATCCCGAGATAGCATTATATATCAGTATGATTAAGTTTTTAGAAACATAAATTGCCATCATGTGGTTATAGCCTTTGGTGATAAACAGAACAAAACAAAAGAAGGATTTGGATAGTTTACCCCCAGATCCAGGATTTGATCAATAATTCATGCCTACAAAACACTTTGTCATTTTGAGGCAGATTGCTCTTAGGAAACTCAGTAAGTTTTGCTAAGTGAATTCAGTAAAGTTTCTAAACCATCCTTTGATATTCCTTTCATTTGAACTCTCAACAATTTTCCGAGGTCGAAGGGAAAGCATTATTATCCCCTCTTTTCTTATTTTTTTTTCTTTAAAGTTTGAGGAAACAAGGTCCAAGAGCCACAGATGTCAGTCTCAGACAGGGGTCAAGAATCACGGTTCCCGCTCTGTGAAGTGTTTCAGACTCAGTATTCAGCTGTGCATTTTCCTCCGATGGGCTCTCAGATGTAACTCAGTCTGAATGGCTCCTTCTTCAGGATCCCTGTCACATTTGAGTGCCCTTGCCCCCACTAAAGGGGACGACAGAGGGTGAGATGGTTGGATGACATCACCGATGTGATGGACATGAGTTTGAGTAGGTTCTGGGAGTTGGTGATGGACAGGGAAGCCTGGTGTGCTGCAGTCGATGGGGTCGCAAAGAGTCGGACATGACTGAGCGACTGAACTGAACTGTCCCCATTAACCTCATCAAATGAGAAATCTAGCAGGCCTTCTAGCCTTCTTCCTGCTCTGTCCCCACTTCATCAACAAGTCTTGCTGAGTTTTCTGACTGTTGTCCACCTATTACCCCTTTGTATTACTGTCCTAGAATTGCCATAGCAAAGTTCCACAGGCTGCTTGGCTTAGACACCAGAAATCTATTTCTCACAGTTCTAGAGGCTAGAAGTCTGAGATCAGTGCTGTCAGCAGGGTTAGTTTCTTCTCCTTGGCTCATGGACCACTATCTTCTTTCTGTTTCTCCACTTGGTCTTCCCTCCGTGTGTTTGTGTCCTAATCTCTTCTTCTTTTAAGGACATCAGGTATACTGGCTTAGTGCATGTGTGTGTGCTAAGTAAGTCATTTCAGCCGTGTCAGACTCTTTGTGACTCTTTGGACTGTAGCCTGCCAGTTTCCTCTGGTCATGAGATTCTCTACGCAAGAATACTGGAGTGCCAGGCCCTCCTCCGGGGGATCTTTCCGACCCAGGGATCAAACCGTCTCCTGCATTGCAGGCACCTGGGAAGCCCAGTGAAGCTTAGGGGCCACCCTAATGACCTCATTTTAACTTAATCACCTCCTTAAAGACCTGTTTCCATGTGCAGTCACATTCTGAGACCTTGAGGGTCAGGACTTCAACCTAAGAAATTTGGGAGGGGGCGCAATTCAGCCGCTAACAACCCTGTTACTGTTCTGAACTGGCTGAGGGATGCCTCCCTCAGCCCTACACTGTACAACACATTCCCACCTGGATGCTCTGCTCCAATTCACTATCCACAGAGATCAATCCAATATAGAAGCCTGATTGTGTAAGTTGCTTTGCTTCTAATCTTTCACCCGAGCCCCCATTCCTTGAGAAGACAAGGGGAGACCTGGCCCTGCCTTTCTCACCTGCCTCTTCTTTCCACACCTCTTGTCTGGCACTCAACCTCCACTGATGCTAAAATGTTTCATGACCAGGCCATGTTGCTTCATGCCTCAATGCCTTGGCTTATATTTATGCCCCCACCCAAGACCTTTCTCTTCATCTGCCTGCCTCTTCCTCATTCTTCAAAATGTACAGAAAATGGGAGCCTCTCCTGGTTCCTGCCAGCTGATCAAAGCTCTGGCCTTCCGAGTGACCTGCAGGCATGAGCACATCTTGGTGCCTTATGAATGACTGAGGAGGGGAAGATCCCTGTCATTCACTGTGGGGACAGTTTGTTCAGGAAATGATGATCCAGGTCTGATACCTGGAACTCGCCTCTCCAAGGAGCTCTCCCTGGAACAGTGGGCCCTGGACCAGGTGGCTAGTATCAGCCCCTGGGCAAGTGAAGCTTCTTCATGGTTTTACACAGACACCCCAGGTTCTTCCCAATTTATGGTTGGTTACATATGTATTTCTATTTCACATACGTTTTAACTTAGACTCATACCTGTGAGGTTGGTACTCATTTGTGAAGATGTCAGTTTTTATTACCAGGGGATGTAGCTCAGTGGTAGAGCGCATGCTTCGCATGTATGAGGCCCCGGGTTCAATCCCCGGCATCTCCATGTGGTTCTGTTTGGGCTTGCCTGGTGGCTCAGACGGCAGGAGACCTGGGTCTCCTAATTTATATTTCCTTTTCCCAAACCCTTTCTCTTTGCCCATCCCGGCTGATCTCAGGCTACACATCTCAAGGCTTCAGTGGGGGATCGGGACAATGTGGAACACCAGGGGGCTCTCACGCTGGCTTTATTGTCCGGTGATTTTCCAGGCTGTGAATCACGCCCAATATGCCTGATCAATCAGAGAAATGGCTCTGCCTTCACATTTTAACCAATTCCCGCCTTATTGTAGCAGCTTATTTAACCCCATCTAACCTTTTAAAAATAATACCATGTAAGCACTTCCACGTCAGCAACTTTATTGGAAATGTTACGCCCACACTGGCATGTGATTGCTAGTAATGATTTTATTTACAAACCCCACCTCCACCCGCCTGAAGCTGTGTCAGGAACCAAATTTGCCCATCCCCCAGCCTCCTATTATAATCAAATGGAATATTTGTGTTTCATGTTCCTGGTGTGTAAACTGCCCAGACAATGTCCTATTCATCTTTGTATCCTCAGGACCCAGTGCTGGACACAGAGTAACGTGATCTATTCTCCCCAGACATCTACTGCAAATAAAGTTAAAATAACCAGCTCGATAGGACAACAGGAAAGGAGTGTCCAAGTAAATATTTGGCAAGAGTTTTAGGGAGAAGCCTCTGATAAAGGAGGTATGGACTGGAGATGAAGGTCAGATGGAACAAGATTAGCCAGGGGTTGATCGTCACTGAAACTAGGTAATGGGACTGCATTATAGTAGTCTCTCTCTGCTTTTGAATATGTTTGAAATTTTCCCTAAAAAAAAAGAAACAAAAAAACAACCCACCAAGAAAAAGACCCATTTGTTTATAAATAAGCACAAGAAAGACAGCATTTTTTTTTTTTTGTGGAACACCAGGGGGCTCTCACGCTGGCTTTATTGTCCGGTGATTTTCCAGGCTGTGAATCACGCCCAATATGCCTGATCAATCAGAGAAATGGCTCTGCCTTCACATTTTAACCAATTCCCGCCTTATTGTAGCAGCTTATTTAACCCCATCTAACCTTTTAAAAATAATACCATGTAAGCACTTCCACGTCAGCAACTTTATTGGAAATGTTACGCCCACACTGGCATGTGATTGCTAGTAATGATTTTATTTACAAACCCCACCTCCACCCGCCTGAAGCTGTGTCAGGAACCAAATTTGCCCATCCCCCAGCCTCCTATTATAATCAAATGGAATATTTGTGTTTCATGTTCCTGGTGTGTAAACTGCCCAGACAATGTCCTATTCATCTTTGTATCCTCAGGACCCAGTGCTGGACACAGAGTAACGTGATCTATTCTCCCCAGACATCTACTGCAAATAAAGTTAAAATAACCAGCTCTATAGGACAACAGGAAAGGAGTGTCCAAGTAAATATTTGGCAAGAGTTTTAGGGAGAAGCCTCTGATAAAGGAGGTGTGGACTGGAGATGAAGGTCAGATGGAACAAGATTAGCCAGGGGTTGATCGTCACTGAAACTAGGTAATGGGACTGCATTATAGTAGTCTCTCTCTGCTTTTGAATATGTTTGAAATTTTCCCTAAAAAAAAAGAAACAAAAAAACAACCCACCAAGAAAAAGACCCATTTGTTTATAAATAAGCACAAGAAAGACAGCATTTTTTTTTTTTGGATTTGTCGCAATGGCCCTTAGTTGAGGAACGAGGCAGTGACTGCCATCTCTCCTGGGAGAAGCCCAGATGAGGGCATCACTGGTGTGGCTAGTCAGTCCCTGAGGTGGCGTCACTGTTTCCGGAGAATAAAACCTTCATTTGCTTGTAGGAGGGAAGGGTTGAGTAATAAAGTAATTGTTGTTACTGGCTCAGCCTTTGTAAACAGTTTCATTTTTAATGATGGTGTGAGTGGAGGATTACAGGAACTGG